GTAGAGAGAATAGTGCAACAATGAATGAGTGGAAGCCCAAAATCTCTGTAAATGTTTATGAAAATTAATAAAATATAATTATAGAAAAAAAAGAAGCATCCTTACTGTTTCCAATGCTTACTTTCTCAAAGAAAAATTTGTTCTTTTGGTAGTCTATAGGATATTCAATACTCTTCACAAGCACCACAGTTCAAAGGCATCAATTCTTGGTCATTTTTATTCATGTTCAACTTCCACATGCACATGAAGCACTGAAAATACCATGGCTTGCATTGCCATACCTAAGTCTTTAAACTGACATCCTTGCTCTTCAGTCCTTTAAAGAGGTCATTAACAGCAGGTTTTCCCCTGATGGAACATGTCTTATGATTTCTTGACTGCTTCTACCATGGTTATTGACTGTGAATTCAAGTAAAATGAAGTCAATGATAACTTCAGTCTTTTCTCCATATATCATGATGTTACCTATTGGTCCAGTGGTGAGGATTATTGTTTTCTTGATGTTGAGATGTAACTTGTATTGAAGGCTGTAGTTTTTTATTTTCTGCAGTAATTACCCAAGTGTCTCTTCACTTTCTGCAAGCAAAGCTGTGTCATCTGCATAATGCAGATTGTTGATGAGTCTTATTCTAATTTTGATGCTACACTTTTCTTCATATAATCCATTTTATTGGATTATTTACTCATACCTATTCATACAGAATGAATCAAGTGTCTTGAGATTGATTTCCTTTCTTCTCAATGCTATCATAATTTATTATTATTCACAGTCAAATGCCTTTGCACAGTCAATAAACTATAACTAAACATCTTTCTGATAGTCTCTGCTTTCTGTCCAATGATTGACAGCTTCCAGACTAAGACAGACTAAGAAGGACGACTGGTCACTCACTTCTGAAATAACTACCGTGTGTCTTGTCAGTTTTCCAAACTCTGGTGATTTCCAGAGAAGCCATCTATGGCTATGTTTCCCCTGTTCTTCACTCTTCAATTTCTAAACTGATTTTTAAGAATGAATTTAGGTCTCTGAATTAAGTAAAACAACTTGAACTCTTTTGTCAGCCAAGAGTGGAGACAGGCCTGAAAGTAAACTCTGTGGGTTACAGGAAATGAGAGGTATAACTCAGGATATGAGGTAGAAAGTTTCCTCATGTCACCAAAGAGGAAGCTCTTGTTTTAGATGCCACATCAGAAGGGGAAGGAAGAGGTGAGTGAAACACTTTCACTACTTTGTGGCTTGTTCAGGGGCAGCTTCTGCTTCCTAGAGGGAAAGTCTCATTGAGTCTTGGGTTTAGTGGCAAGATGACAAACCTTCCAAGGAGTCTGAAGCATGTGCTTCCCAGATTCAAGGTCTCTCTCTTAGACTTTGGCCCAAGTCAGCTTGGCAGTTTCTGCAGTCCTCCGGCATTCCTGGCTTTTAGTCTGAATCCCACCGGATAGCTCAGCAAGAACAGAATCTCCATGCTTTGTTTTGCACAATATTCTTTACCCCCAAACTATAAAAGTAACTGGAACGTCTTCATAAATTATGGGAAAAAATAATCTTGGCTATGACTGGCTTGCTTTTTCTAAGCCTCAAAATCCTCATCTGGATAAACAAGTGGATGCAAGGCAGAAGGGAGTCCTTTGCTGCTATGACAGTCTGTTGGAGGGCAGGTCATTTTCAGGAGTATTTTCTGGCCTAGGAGAAAGGGCAGCCAGCAGTGGTCTATCAAGACCACCATGGTAGCTCCTATTGGATTTGTTTCACGAGGATCTTCAGTTGAGCTACAATAAAGAGCAAAGCTGTCAGACTGGAATTAGTGCTATTTGCTGAGGATATTTTGACCTATTGCATGTAACATACTAGATTTTTCAAACTCTCAGATTGAAGAGTATAATCTCTTCTTCCCTTTATGTGCATTCACTCATTCATTTGTTTATTCATTCATTCTGTCACTAACTACACAACCAGAAAAGATGAGTAGAAAACAAAGGACACTATAGAAGAAACAGGCAGCTTTCAAACAAGCCAAGTGTGCTCCCGTGAAGTGACATGAATTAAAGATTTCTGGCACATACCTTTCATGAAATCATTAACATCTTCTTTTACACTTTATTAATATATGAACCAGAAAATGGTATTCATAACCACAAGCTTCCATTGGGACTTTTAGTCTCTTCTGGAGTGAGGAGATGATGTTAGTTTGATAAGCTTTTACCATTAGCTGTACTATGAAAGTCTTTCTAAACATGGTTGCATAACTTTTTTTGTTTTTTCTATCCAGATGTCTAATCATCCATCTTACCAAAGATACCAGTGGACAAAGAACTGCTTAAGATTAACACTCTTCCAGAAATTGCCTATAGAAAAAAACACAGCTTCATCTACCAACACAGAGAATCACTCACTTCTTAATCAGTTTGGGTTAATTCCTTTTCTTCACTTGGATAGGAAAAGATAAGACATCATCAGAGTACGAGTTTGAGCAGAAGGATGACTAGGTAATGCCTGATTCATACTTGACCTGATTTAACCTCAAACCATTATTAATTTTATTTGATCTTCCTTCCTTTCTTATTTTCCCCCATGTTCATTCAAAAATTAATGACTAAAAGACATTTCCACTTTTAGAAAAACCCCAGACCACTCTTGAAAGATATTCATTGTGCAAAGGGTCCGTGCCATTTCTCTCAGAGTTTTTGATGTACCAATTCCCTAGCATTTCATAAAAAAAAATTATAACTTAGAAAACATAAAAAGGAAAGCTTTCTTTCAGACAATGTCCCAAAATAGAAGTTAAAATTCAATGTTATATTTTTGTGCTTCTGAAGTTTATTTTAAACATTTTGGAAAGGAGATATGTCTTAGAAGTCCCCAAAACCTATCACATTCCATTTTATAATAGTTTCTTGCTTGAAACTGTAACTTTACATTCTGTAGCTGGCACATGTCTTCTCAGCAGTTGGATATGCGATTTAAGTGGAAGTAAAACTTCCTGACTTAGATCATCCAGAAAATTTAAAGACTATTTCATTTGAGGAGAAAATAAGATTTTGAGGAACCCATCTTTTTAATCCAGTGTCCTCTCAAAATAAAAATAACTTTTAAAATCAGAGCTACCCAATACTTTTAAATTGCCCTCAAATTGGGGAAATGCATTATCTAATTCCCCACAGATGAAGGTCTACAATAGAGGAATTTAGAAGCACCAAAGAACATAAAGAAATAATTCAGCAAATGAATTACAATTACCTTTTTTAGATCTGGCCATTCTTTTGGTAGAATATGAGTGTGGATATCAATTTTCATCTCCGTATGATCAGAGAGGGAGAGTACTTCAGGAAAGAAGTTTTGGTGTAAAAAGAACTCCAAGGAGACAATGGAGTGACCAGATTCACTCAGTCCCTTTGTGGATTCCTTCAGGCACCGGCCAGTAGACCTGTTCTGCCCAGCCTCAGCACTTTGAAAACACTTCCTTAAAGTTCAATGTTCTGTTTATAGGTCAACCTGGCGTTGGGTAAACAACTCGTTGGCAAGCGGGATTCTAGACACAAAATTTAATTGAAAAGTAGACTATTCACACCCCTGTGAGGTCAAAAATACTGTGAGTTGGTTTGAGTTATGTCAAGTCAAAAGTAGACTAATTTTTATTCTCAAATATTTGAATTAAAATAATTCATGTATATGGTTAAAAATAAAATTGTATGAAGTGGCTTTTAAAGAAAAACAATAGACTCATGATGCACCTCTTCTTCTTTTTTAAATTGTGATATTAGTTTGCAAAAAGACTGTTTTCCATTCATTCATATATAACATTCTTTTGTATTGTTTCCCCTGTTACAGATTGTCAATTGTCATTCATAAGGAATGGACGATTAGACAATTAGATATACTGTGATGTACCTCTTCTGACCCTTGATTTCACTTCCCACAAACAACCAAATGTAGTATTTTTAGCTCCTCCTTGCATTAATATTTAGAAATGAGATGGCAATAAAAGTTTGCCATGGTAAAAGAGTTATGGAGAAAGTTTCATCTTTCCATTAAAATCATAGGAAGAGCTCATTCCTTACGTTGTTTCCTCCATTGTCTTTGCTTTTCAGGAATTGAATTATTTATGCATTTAACAAATATTTGTTGATAATTACTATCGATATTACATGCTAGCAAAACACTGCTGAGGGTCATTCAAAAATGACTGGAACAGTACATAAATAAGGAAGTGCCAGAAGTTCAAGCTGGATTTAGAAGAGGCCGTGACAGCAGGGCAATCATTGCTAATGTCAGATGGATCCTGGCTGAAAGTAAATAATACCAGAAGAATGACTATTTCTGCTTTATTAGACTACACAATAGTCTTTATTGACTATGCAAAGGCATTTGATGGTGTGGATCATAACAAATTGTGGCTGATGTTGAGAAGAATGGGAATCCCAAAGAACTTGATTGTGCTTATGGGGAACATATACCTGGACCAGGAGGCTGTTGTATGAATGGAGCAGGGGAGAAGTGCATGGTTTGGAATTGAGAAAGGAGTGTGTCAAGGATGTATTCTATCTCCATACCCGTTCAATCTATATGCTGAGCAAATTGTAGGAGAAGCTGGACTCTATGAAGAGGAATGTGGCATCAGGTTTGGAAGGAGACTCATCAATAACCTGTGTTATGCAGATGACACAATCTTGCTTGCTGAAAGTGAGGAGGGTTTGAAACACTTGTTGCAGAAGATCAAGGAATGCAGCCTTCAGTATGGATAATGTCTCAATATCAAGAAAACAAAGATTTTTACCACTGGACCAATAGGCAGTGTCAACAGCTTCATCTTACTTGGACCCTCAATTAAAATTCTTGGTACAAGCAGTCAGGAAATATGGAGATGCATTGCAATGGGGAAACCTGCAGTTTAGGGACCTTTCCAAATTATTGAGGAGTAGTAATGTCAGTTTGAGGACTTAGGCGTGTTTGATTCAGGTCATGATCTTTCTGATAACGAGCTATACATCTGAGACCTGGACAATGAAAAAGGAGAACAGAAAAATAATTGATGCCTTTGAGCTGTGATGTTGGAGAAGAGCACTGAACATTCCTTGGATGGTCAAGAAAACTAATAGATATGTCTTGGAGAGGGTGCAGTTAGAGTGCTCTTTGGAGGCAAGAATGATGAGGCTTCGTCTAACATACTTTGGACATATTGCTAGGAGGTGGTATTCCTTAAAGAGGGACATGATGCTGGGAAGGGTGGAAGGTTGGCGAAGGAGAGGAAGACCCTCAACCAGGTGGATTGACAAGGTGACTGCTGCAATTGGCTCTTGTGTGTCAGGAAGTGTGAGGATTGCACAGGGTAGGACTAGGTTCAGATCTTTTGTTCATAGTGTTGCTATGAGTCATACTTGACTTGATACACCTAACAACAACAACAGCAACAACAATGTAGTTAGGATTTAGGTTGCATGAGAGATAATAGGTAGTTGTATAAAGTCTAAGGACAGAGAAAGGGGGACATAACTTCTCCCTCATGAGTTTTCAGAGAAGTCTATGGAAGGTTTCTATTTGGGTATAAAGCAGGGCTTATGGTTCAGGGCTCCTGGAGGACATGGTAAGGGAACAGGTGGAGAGTTAGCTCAGTGTTAGGGGTGGGGTTGTCAGGAAGCAGTGAGGACCTGATGACAAATAGAGGGTTCACTTGGTGAGGGGACAGATACGGAGGAGCTGTGGGAACCAGATCATGTTTTGTTGTTAGGCATCACCGAATCCACTATGACTCATAGCAACCCTACGAACACTGGTTCTGAACCTTGCTCTGTCGTGCACCATCCCCACTATCTCTGATATGCCCAAGCCCATTGTTACAATCCATCTCATTGGGAGTCTTCCTCTCTTTCTTTGATCCTCCACCTTTCTTACTGTAATATCTTTTTCCAAGGACTGGCTTCTCCTTACAACATGCCCAAAGCACGTGAGATGAAGTTCCACCATCCCTGCTTATAAGGAACCCCCCTGGTTATACTGCTTCCAAGATAGACTCATTTGTTCTTCTGGCAGTCCATTAGGTATTCAATACTCTAACATTATTCAAGTGAATCAATTCTTCTTCCATTCTTATTCATTGTTCAATTTCCAGATGCATGGAAATCAATTAAAGATACCATTACTTGGATAAGGTATACGTGTGTGTGTGTGTGTACCAACAAATCAAACTTGACTGATACAGAAGGAGATTGTCCTTCCTTCTCCAGTAGAGTATCTAGTGGATTTGAACCACACACCTCTGGGAATGCAGTGCAACGTTTTGCCATTAAACCACCAGAGCTCCCTGGATAAGGTATACTTTAGTCTTTAACCTGACATCCTTGCACTTTAACACTTTAAAGAGGTCCTTGACAGCAGATTTTTTCCCTTTTGATTTCTTTACTGTTGTTACTATTGGGGTTTGTGAATTCAAATAAAATGGGATTGCTGACAACTTCAATCTTTTCTTCATCTACCATGGAGAAAAGATAGCTGTTGGGTCTAGTGGTGAGGATTTTTTTTTTCTCTTGATGTTGAGATATATTCTAAATTGAAGTCTTTGATCTTATGTAGCAAGTGTTTAAGGTTATTTTCACTTTCAAATGAAGGCAACGTAATTATTTCAAGTTATGTGTCTATAGGGCAAGGAACAATCTGGAGTGGGAGGAAACTAAGACTACACAGTTTAGTACAGTTTCTGTGCATTAAATTGAAGCAAATTTTTAAAAATAATAGTCATTAGTTTTTCATTGTTGAATATTTTCTTCTCCTCTTTAACTAACCCCACGATACATCCCTTGTTCTAGATCACTGCCATGCATATAATGCCTAATCATATATTTCTTTCGGTCAGTTCTTCCCCTCATCTGTTCTAATGCACTGTTCATTATCTATTAACTCTTTCCCCATTCTCTCCCCAACTGCCCCTATGTCTGTCCTGTTTTATAACACCAGGATTATGTAGTGTTTGTCCTTTTGTGACTGAGGTATATCACTCAGAATGCTTTCCTCCAGGCTCCTCCATTTGGGTAACATTTTATGAGTTCATTGTTTTCAATGCAGCATAATATTCCATTGTGTGAACGTACTATAGTTTTTCTATCCATTTGTCTCTTGATGGACACTTCACTTGTTACCATCTCTTTGCTATTGTGAATAACGTAGCAATAAACATAGGTGTACATACTTCTCTTTGAGTTGTGACTCTGGTTTCTTTAGAGTTTATTCCTAGTAGTAGAGATGCTAGATCAAATGGTATTTCTAGTTCTAAGTTTTTGAGAAAACACCAGATCACTTTCCATGGTGGCTGTACCCTTTTACATTCCCACTAACAGTGAATAAGAGTTCCAATCTCTCTACAATCTCATCAGCATTTGTTATTTGCTGCCCTGTTGAGCTTTGCTATTGTTGGTTGGGATTGGAAGCAAATTTTGTAGAATAAATTGAAGAGGACAGTGCCTCTAGGAAAAACACACATGTGCTCTCTTTTTATCTGTCTCCCAAGGTCTTTGTTACATGATGTTCTTTCTCAGTCCTCACAAACACCAGCTTTCCTTGATTACAAAGGCAGAAATTGGGAAAACCTGACCTTCAAATGTTCCAGCTTTTTCGGGCATCAAAAATTATTGCATAGTAGTAAAAGAGATGAACTTTGAGGTTTGCAGACTTGGGTTCAAAACCCAACTCCAGTACAAAATTATCTTACTTAAAATATTTTGAGATTTGGTAGCCTAGTGGTAAGGAATTTTGCTGCCAATCCAGAGGAACATGGTTCAAATTCACTAGCTGCTCTGTGGAAGAAAGATGAACAGTCTCCTGTGTGATTTACACTCTTTGAATGCTCACCAGAGGGTCAGCTATCTACAAGTTGATTCTGACTCTACAATACATAACAACAACAACAACAGCAAAATATCTCTGTAAGCAACTCCCCATTTTTTTTATCCATTAAATATGGAAATCGATAATAACTGTTTTCTACAATTGCTGTAAGATTGAATGATACAATCATTACATGTTTAGCATAATACCTTAATAAATGTAATTTACTTCCCCAAACAGTTAAGACTATGGTTTCTAATCCAAAGTTTGCAAGTTTGAGACTACCTACAAGTACTTCAGAAGAAAGGTCTGATGATCTATTTATAAAATATCAGTCAGTCATTGAAACGGGGGGGAGCACAGTTGTTCCCTAACAGACATAAGATCGCCACCAGTCAGAATGACTAAACAGCAGCTGATCTATCACACACACACACACACACACACACACTCACTTCCCTTAGGTACTTAGAGTATTGTTTTAGTATTATCTTCCACTTACCAGGACAAATCTGAACCTTGACATTGT